GTTAGTTATTTGTCTCTACTTACTATAAGACATATATATATATATATATATATATATATATATATATATATAATATTTCTTTTCGCTTTAATGAGTCGCCTATGTATTAGGATACTTAAATGTCCCTATTGAGCTTCATATATTTGAGTTTGTGTAGTATGTGCGTTTTTCTTGTTTCAAATCAAGGTGCATAGCTATGTGTACACGATTTTTTGGATTCCGACTAGAACTGGTAGTCAGAGTCGGTCTTCAGCACACCGGCTTTGTTTTTTTGGCGTTGGCTTCAGTATTTGCTAAGCTGTTTAAACATCATTACAGGGTATTTTCTTAGGCCCAGCGACGCAATGGGGTTTGAGTGGTCGGTCGTTCGGATGGAGCGTGTGCAAACCCTACCTGGTGAGTACTCGTTTACTTCATTAATCATGAATTAAAGTATATGCGTATGGATGGATGTCTTGAGTGTTCAGAGTGCTTTTGTAAACACTACACTGGTTGATCAACACGTAGGTGAAGTGCTGTATCAGTTGCTGTCACATCAAGACGCTCCTAGAGCAAGATGTCTCTGTTCGGCTGCAGATCTGTATTTATAGTTTTAGCTTGTGTTAAAATATCGAGAGGCAGCCACGCAGCTCGCAAACTCGGTCGAAAATTTATTCTTTGAGTGCGTTGAACACAAAAAGTTCATCATCATTTTCACATCATACCAAATGTTGTTGGACTTTCTGATAACCGATAATAATCTGAATCGAATATATATATATAACATGCTCGAGATACTTATCACGGCAATATGCTGTTGCACTTTTTGATAATTGGTGTTCTGCTTAACTACATACAAATAACTTGCTAGATGCTTATCATGGGGTGGTGTAGCGAGTCTTCCAACACTCACTTTTACTTTGTGCCGTTTATCCACCTCAGCATCGGTGCCTTGGCTATAGCAGTAGCCAAGAACTCGAGTTCATCCAGAACAACGTTCTCCGCGTCATTGGGTGAGTACGATTGATAGAGACTGCCCTCAGTTAGTTGTTGTTGTTGGTTTTTGATACATTTCTGTGGTTTTTCGGCAAACCACATATGCTGTTGGACAACATGTTTGTCCATTTCGGATTTACGTGTAATTAGTTGTTCGATGAATCTGCATACGTTCGGACATGCCTAAGAAATACTATGTATGTGTGTGTTTGTTTTGTGATTGTGCCTCAAATTTTCTCGATTTCAATATGTGTGATTTGATAAACTTAATCCACTTTGCATATATTGTCTGCTTTTACGAATCTCAAATTTAATTTCTCAGGTTCGGATCTGTATTCGTGCTTATCGGAAGTATACCATTTGTCGGTGCATTTTTCATCTCCATGGGAGGATGTGCTGTACCGCACTTCTTCGATAATGAAATGATACAGGAAGGACACAATAAGTAAGTGTCGAGAATGTTGGCATAAGCTGCTTAATTTGAATGCATTCTGTATACGTTTACTGGTGAAACATTAATTGTTTGTGTGCAATCTTAAAATACTTTTTCTGTTGCTGGAACACAATCAATATAGATTCAATCGGGCCTGATGATGGAAAGAACATGCTTTCATGGCCTTAAAACTTTCAAATTTAGGAAGTGTGTTCATGATTTCTAAATCGGTGTGTTGTTCTTGCTATGGCCGTGCTTGAGATGCGGCATCATAAATTCTACTAATCTATTGCTGTAAATTTGTCCGTTTGCCACAGATTCAATACGGGTGATTCAATACCAATGCAAGACATGCAGAAAAAATCAATGCAATGACATGATCATTGATCAAGGCTACCTCCGGCTGCGTATATGCTTAATATCAGCATAGCAGCAACGATGCAGCATACTAATTAAGAAATACAACAATACGGAATATTAAATATATTAATCGACGGAAACTAATGTTTGCCTTTGTTTTGTTGTATCTTTTTTTTAGCTAGATAATGATTGCACAACGTCTGTGAAGATGCCGCTAGCAGAAGACTGCATCAGAATTGGACCATATATAATTGAGTTCGTGCATGTATCGAAATTGAGATGGGTGGTTATGCCCGAGCCCAATATGAAATACTTCCATATGACATGCCCTAGAGTTATAGCAGCGAAAACAAGGCATTGTCCGATATCGGATTAATCTTGGCGGAGATGCATATATTTCAGTATGATTTGTATTTTGCTCTACCCCATGATGTAGCTAATCCATCATTCGTAATTTGTGCAATGTCTGACTAGAAGCCAGGTCAATTATAAATTATTGCGCCTGGCAATTCGTTACTTGTCCCGTTGTCTATTGACAGTATCAGATAGACATACTGCACCAGATGGTATCCACCACATACACAAGCGAGACTTACCGTTGTAGGGCTTCGAAGTGATTTACAGTGGGTCTAATCAGGTAGACCTCACAAAATGAGTGTCAATGCGCATAATACTTCTAATAATGATCTTTAAATCTGCTCACAACTGTCGTGTTCTGAGTCTACTACTGATTCGGACAAATTGATAGCTGTACAGGCCGCATATAGCCCGTCTGACAAATACAGATTGGAAATCACCCAATCAGCCCGCACACTCAACCCGGGTTATAGTGTCAGCTCTTAATGCGTGGTACAACATGCACTCAGTCAGTACACCCTGGATCAAGTTGGTTAATACACACAATGGATCACCACAAAGAGACCTGTTTTCGGCTGGGAACGCGCCAGCACTCCTCCGGCGCGAGTGTGGAATCAATGTCCCTATCCACGACATGAAATGCTAAACCAGGTTCATAGAACACGGGCAGATCGTGGTATGGCAGGGTGGACTTGTCGGATGTAAGAAGGGATTCGGGTGCTACAGACATCAGCCGTTGGTCTAAAGCTGTACTTAGAACCCTGAGATCGCAGAACAAGGAGTTTTTTCTACAACTATATAGTACCATATTCAACCCAAACTCGAAAATTGCGGACAACATGCCCATGTCATCCAAGGGAGCGTGACCCTTCATTCCCTGCCTCCACTGATCAATATTGAAGTTGAAAACAAAGGTTTGTGTGCACTCCAGCCAGGTAGGGTTCTGGCAATTAGAAAGTATATCTCTGATTTGTTGTTTGGTATAATCGTGGCCTCGACTGCTGAGAGCGTATTGCAAAACCCGGATGCCACTGTCCCCCTCCGCCACCGTAACGGGTGTGGGTCTGACCCGAAAACGTTTGCCTTCAACATAGAGTATACCCCCTTCCAGTGGTGCCGTTATCTGCAACAATACGTATCGATGTTGTAATAAATTGTGAACAATGTGTGTGTTCGGTGTAGGGCACGAGATTAAGAGTTGTATTGATGCGGATACACACCTGGTGAGCGATCCGCTGATATTGTTCCACAGCTATTTGATGTGCATGTGGTTCTGGTTCGGGCACCCTATTCAACGAGGTCGGATGTGATTGAATGGCGCTTTGTATGGGGTCGACTGCGGCGATACCATTCTGCTGATACCATTCAAGAATGCACGACAAATCAGTGGATGATAGCTACCAACGGACGATATCAACAAACTTCAAACCATCAGCAATATTATTTGCACTGCGTACGTTTACTGCTCAATATCATAGCACATGGCAACATGACTCTCAAAAGAAGTCCATTGACAAGCTATAGCAGCCGGTGATACGTCTACGTGATTCTACTCATCGCTAAATCAATGTGTGGCATGGACTGAACTAAATCAAATATGACGATTACAACGATTATATAGTGCTGCCTAATCAGGTTACATAACTTTCCTTCCTATATCAGATTGCAAATCAATGTTCTCTCAATCCCTTGGGTAGCTATACTAAAACCGAAATTGCTATGTGAGGTGCACGTACAACATACAACTTACTATTGATCCGTGGCTCTCCCAACCAAGAGGATTGGTGCTCCTCATATCGCTAATTGCAAGTTTTTTGAGTGGTGAGATGTTATTGGCTCCATTTTCAGTACACCCCAAAACTCTCCTGGTAGGCACTTTAACGGTTCTAACTGGTTTCGGATTAGGTTCGCACTCATGATTGTGACTGAAGCAGGTCATCGTGATTTGTATCCACCCGTGGTATTCGACACCTCTTTGAAACGGAACACCTGTTTCACCTTCCGGGGGTTCGCAATGTGCTAGTCGCACCTGAAGTGGAATAGGTTGCGAACTGTGTCAGTAGAGTGTATACAACCCGAAAATGGCTAGCAATGGTGGAATCGCCAGCAAATATATATTACTCACCCTATACGAACAATTGCATACGAGTCGAGGTTAGTAAATGTATACTACTCGCCCTATACGCACAATTGCATACGAGAGTCGAGGTTAGCAAATATATACTACTCGCCCTATACGCACAATTGCATACGAGAGTCGAGGTTAGCAAATATATACTACTCACCCTATACGCACAATTGCATACGAGAGTTGAGGTTAGCAAATATATACTACTCACCCTATACGCACAATTGCATACGAGAGTCGAGGTTACTCTTGTGCGGAATTGCTTCTTCGCGTCTCGCTTCTCTTGTCGACGCTTTATCTTTCGCTTGTATTGAGTTTCAGGGTTCCCACTCCTCGAACATACGATAACTGTGTTGGCAATGAGTGCACACAGAATGCATGAGTTTACGCTGCCAAATTATAAAATCCATTTCAATCCGACATCAAAATCTCACTTCGACCGGGTAGTGCCTTACCGAACATTCCACGCTTTGGCTCGTTCTTCTTCTTAACAGCGAAATTGCCTTTCGATGCTATCACGGACACCGCCTGAAAGGCTTCATCAAACGAGGCGAACTTCAAGCCAGCATAAATGCTATGTTCATCGAAGTAGCCGAGTTTTACTTCTGATTCAGTCGGCACCCATTCGAATTCGCGCACGGCAGAAACACCCCAGTGCTCTTCATCATCAATGACCAAGGGTTTCCGGAAATACCGATCAGTATCACCAATCTGATCACATTCCTGCTTGTCGGCACTCGATTGCTGTGGTTCTAATTTCGTGATTTTAGCAAGTTCCTTGGTTTTTTCCGCTTCATCATTGTAGTCATCGTCTGATTCTGCATCGTTTGAGATTGTTGGATTTGTGTATTGAATATCCACTTTGTCTATCATCATTCGCAAGTATAAGCCTTGAGACATAGTGTGATCACGACAGAGTTTGATGCAATTATATCATTACCCCTGATTTTGAAAGGGCCGTTACTAAACTCGATACCTGTTTCATTTCCCTCCAATCCTTTCAACCTTTTTCTGATACTTCTATGCTCTGAATCGGACGGACCCGTCGGTGGCGATCCTCTACCATCATTGTCGCAGTATAGTGATACTTTAGTGTCCAATCGCTTGTCTCCTGTGTTTTTCTTAATGGGTGAGATAAATCCAAACTTTTCCTTCTATAGACAAACAAAAACTTAATGTACTGTACCAACGATATAGTCGACTTCACATTAATACCCCTACTAGCATATCGCAT